AGTAGTAGTAGTAGTAGTAGTAGTAGTAGTAGTAGTAGTAGTAGTAGTAGTAGCAGCACACTGACTAATATTCCTAAGGAACTCGATCGAGTATTTAACAATTATTAGTATATTTGTCCTTTAGGGAATCTGTGACAGACACCCTCAGAGCTCACGAGATGTCCCTCCTACAGGCCACTCGTCTTGCTGCAGACAGACGGTCACACCCACCGGTACAAGCGGGGAAAAAAAGTAAAGTAAAAGTAAAGTATTTCATTGTCTTATTTGGAGGTCTTCAGAGGTAAGCAACGGCTCATTTAATTTTTTAACTGGGAAGATTATCATATTTGTTATAGTAGAGGTTTTACAGCGCTCGCGACTGGATAAGGTCAAATGAGCGCCAAGGGGTGGATGTCAACAGAAGGCTTACTCAGCTCACCTCTCTAGCTTCGACAGCACAAAGTCTGCTTCGGCTATTAAAGCACCCCGGAAATAGCAGGTCACAAGAGAGTGACAAACATACAAAAGAAGTAGAGGAAAAATCACGATAGTAAGGACGAGGAAAGAAAAAGCAGCAGTTCCCAGTTGCAATTATGGCACAGTTATGAGCATAACATTGGTGAATCAGCCCAATTACAATTCTACTGTGCATCAGAACATGGCAATGTCCCCCCTTTGGGAATGGCTTAAAGACACTTCAGTCAGTAGCACCGCCCCGGGGGGTAGATTATCATTTTGACGAGTAGCATCACCATCATCATGCTGGACTATAACGCACATGGTTCAGGTTGGGATCCCTACACAGGAACTACTATATATGGGTTCTTGAACTTAATTAGGATGTTATTGTTAATCTCCATTTTACCCAGTTGGCTCTTCCCTACTGCAGAAGGATGTTTAATCAAAAATATTATTGTGATAAGTGTAGGTTTATATTATGATTCCGACTCTCAGTTAACCATGCAGTGTTGAATGGGAAATCATAACATACCACACGATATTTTACGTTACTTGTGTCCTGCCACTCTCAAAGTACTATACGAGGGCTTTTTAGTTGGTAAGTGTTTTACGGCGCTCGCAACTGCATTAGGTCATATGAGCGCATGGGGACCATACAAGTTTTTCAGTTGGTAGGAAATTTTGAATTTTGCACGGGTGGCGGTCGAAGCCTACTCTTATCGATTTTAGACCACCAAGGGATCTTTAACGTGCGCAACTTGCACACGGGACCTCCAAGATTTTTTACCCCTTGTCTGAGAAGGTTAGGTGTAGATCTTTCCTATCAGAAGATCAGGGGTGAGGCTGAAAGGCAGCAGTAAGAAGGAGCCAAAGATCGGATTAACGAGTAAATTTCCTCTTTGGAAAGTGGTGGTACAGAGTTCCCTACGTCGTATGGATACGATAGTAAAACACGACGTACGGATAGGGTTAAAAAGCTCGAGCCCTGTTGGCTTCGGTCAAGGATAACTGAATCGTTGACGATGTAATCAATATATTTTCCCTTGTCACCATGATATAGAAATAGACTTATTTTGAACAGATAAGAAAGTCGTTAAAATAATTTTTATGCATTCGATTTCAGTCCGCACGAACTCATGGCTGCTTTGAAGCAGAGCTCAATGTTAACTCGTATTGGTTATTCTGTCGCAGGCGATAAAGTACTACATAATTTATAACTTTTATGCGTTTGGATTTTGTTTTCTTGTTGTTGTTTTATTTTGTTTTTTTAAAAAGAAAATGTGTTCGTTTGGTATAAAAATAGGTTCTTTCAGGAGAAGAATAACACTGCAATCTCCAAGTCAATTACCCTTACCCCCTCTTTAAAAAAACAAAAAAAAACAAAAACAAAAAACAAAAACACCCAACAAAACAAAAAAACAAACATGCAGAAAAACAAACAAATTAGTAAGGAAACCAAGAGACGAACAAACAAACAAGCCATAACAAACAAACAAACAAACAAACCCAAACCCAAGAAAACAACCACCTCAAAAAAACAAACAACCCCAAACAAAACAAATGAATATTATTATACAACACAACTCTCTCTCTCTTTCTCTCTCTCTCTCTCTCTCTCTCTCTCTCTCTCTCTCTTTCTCTCTCTCTCTTTCTCTCTCTCTCTCTTTCT